AATAATTAATTATTTTTAATAATCAAATTAAGATAAAAATTTAATCACTTTAATCTCTAACATAAATAATAGTGATCATCACAGTAGCGAAGAACCACACTAACTGTTTTTATTTCCTTTTCTTGTGAGAACCAAACTTTTCTGGGTTGAGCGGCTACAAGGCTGATAAATTATCCATAAAACGAAGTCAAAGATATGTTGTTGCATACTATTCTTGTATCTAACCTACCAATGCCTAACCAATCTTCCATGTTTAAATTCAACAGGTTGGCCAAAAGATGGCAATCCAAGAGGGGGTGAATTGAGTTCTTAAAAATTTGTTCAAGTTTTGGGATTCCAAACTATAAACAATTAAATGTAAACACATGTAAGTAAATTAAATTGTAGAAATTAAAAGAGTAAGGAAGACAAATATTAAACACAGTGATTTATAGTGGTTTAGTTACAATTTGTGTTTACTCTACTCCTTAAACCTCTTACTTGAGAATTAGGTTTAAATTCAAATGTTCTTCTCCAACTTGTAGGCATAAAGGCAATCGTGCATAATAATTTTGTCAGCGCTATTTACCTTTAACAACTCATCCCCTTCTTACAATCTTTCTCAAGACCCAATCCTAACCACTAAGAAGGTTTTCTAAATCTAATAAGGGTTTTCCCCCCAAACACTTTCTTAATTTTGAAAGAGTGACAAACATTGATCACCTAGATGATCGGATAACAAGAATGAAGCACAAAAAGCAAAGTTGAAACTTTGTAAGCTTTTCTCAAGAATACATTAGGGTTCCACTCTATTTCTGTTGCCTTTTCCAGAACATCGTTTTAAACCTAACATCCAAATCCAAGACAAACTAATTGTTGCTGCTCAAAAAAGAAAGCCATTGATTTCCTTTTGTCTTAGAATTCTGTCAAAGGTTTTGGAACTTATTTAATATGTTCTGGAACATTGAAAGCTTAAATCTTGCATTCCATTGGATGTAATCTAGAACTATGGAAGTCCGATCTCTATCCAAGGAAATATATTAAAAGAGATTTATATCCTTTCCAAAAGGGAAAGTATACATTAATGCATATACTTGTTCCCAAATATGAATGTGAAAGCCCTAAATTCTAAAAATATTAGCATAATCTTTGAATTAAAAAATTGGTATTCCAAATATTTAGTATATATTCACTTGATTTTGGTAATCATATAAAAAATTAAGAATAACAAAACAATCCTAAAATTATTTGCTTCGATGTCAATCAACTAATCTATTTCTATGATTAGGGAGGTCAAGGGTCTCAGGTTTGAACTCTAAATACAATAAATTTGAGAAATGAAAAGACTATTTCTGTAATTGTGTTATATAACTCATTATCATATATAAGTTGTTTCTGAGAACATAATCAACTCACCAAGTCAATACTTGCACACACTAATTTTTTTTTGTTGAGATAAATATGTAACTTGAACAAGTTTGTGTTTTCACACACTTCTAATAAGGTATTAAAAAAGTACTTTATAATTTGAATTATAAAATATTATTTACTAAATGATAAGTGGTTGGTTAATAATGGGTGTGGTTTCCTCCTTCAAATAGCTAGTTTGTCTTTTGCAATCCAAACTCATAAAATATAGTCATTTTCTAGTCTTATTTTTATTAGAGAGAGAGAAGAAGAAGAAGAAGAAGAAGAAGAAGAAGAAGAAGAAGAAGAAGAAGAAGAAGAAGAAGAAGAAGAAAACATAGAGATAAGGGAAGCCAATTCTTTGAGTAATTGATGGGCTAGGATAATACAAGTTGGTCGGTAGGCTAGAGCCTTAATAGCCTTTTAAGGCCCAAGGCTGTTACCCAACTTGAGTTTTGAGCCAAACAATGAGAAAAGTGGCCTCTACTGGTTGGACCTTGGGACTTGGGAAAGCCACAAGGCCCACAGCACCACCCAGCACCCAGTCCTGGAGCTGGAGTTTATGTTTATGTTGGTTCAATTTTTAAAGCATTTCATATTTGGTAACCAAAAACAAAAAGTTTGAGTAACAAAAATACTTATTGTGAATTGAATTTCTTATTTTTTGAGTTTGCATTGAGGTACTACTGCGGTGCTCATAACAATCAGTTATATCATCGAGTGGTAGACTTATATGTATTCTTAATCACAACCATAACTAAATTTTAATTTCTAATCTTTACATACCTAAAAAACTACTGTGTTTGTTTTTGCTAGGAATCTTTTGCTAAGATTTGGGTTTGATGCTTTAATTAGATTAACGGAAAGAAATTCTGGTTCTGCCAAAGTGCCAATTACTCTTTTCTATATCAACTTTCCAATAGAAAGAAAAATGCTCTCGACCAAATGGGAATATGGGATTTGCTTCCAAGTGCCAAATTTGATAAGGCTTTTTTTTTCTTTTTTTTCCTTTTTTAATATGGGTAAGTTTTTAGGGAATGAAGGGGCAGTGAGGGCAAAGGGACTCGACCCTGGCCATAGGAGATGGATCACTGGTCAGGTGACCAAATGCTCTGGTAGCCCATGTTCATTTGATACTTCATCCTTGTTATCCCTAGCTAGGCTTAATGGAATATTTTAGCTCATAGGTGTTGTATTGTTATATATTCTAGAAATTATACCTGCCACATTTCTATTGTGGCTCAGAAAGATGTCATTTTTTCTCCTATTTTACGGGGGATAAACATCCAATTCAAGGCAACAGACCTTGCTGTAAAGTGAGGTTATCGTGCACAGGGGCGTAGCTAGCTAGAAAATTGAGTGAGGGGGGCGAAATTTTTTTGTTAACTACTTGTGTTTTGAGTATTTTTCATAGTAATACTAGTTGATTTTCTTTAGAAAGTTAATTTTTAATTTTGATTGTCTTTTTTATAGATATTTTCCTAAGAATTTTAACAAAATTAAGAAATGGATGTATTTTCTTCATTCCATATTTCTACTAATTTCTTATTAAATAAATATTTTTATTAAAATAAAAAATAATACCTCACTATAATAATACTTAAATAATGGATTAATTAATTCAAATAATTTTAAAATCTTACTCTTTCCATCTCAAAATCTCTCTCTCTCTCTTTTTTTTTTCCTTGAATTGTCCATAAAATTTTATCTTTTTCCATCCCAAAAAGCTAAACAATAAGAAAGAGGAAATAAGTAATTCAGAACTTAAAAACTAAAATTATTAACTAAATAAAGAGTGAACTATTTTTATTTGAGGGTTAATGATTGTTTAATTTTTTTTATTTTGGTTTTGTTTGTGAATCAAATTTTTGAATAAATTATTACTTTCTATAAGAAAATTTATCTTTTATTGATTAAAAGAAATATCAACTTTTAGTCTAACATTTTATTTTTAGTTACTAATATCTTTTTTTTTCTAGGTCAAACTTTTAAAATTTTACTTCTAACTCATAATTTTTTATTGAGGCAAATTTGTTTATCTTTTTTTGTCATTTGCTAAACCAATTTTTGATATATTTCTAAATTTATTAGATATTTTTTAGATATGTTATATTCTGTCTTTTTTCTTCCCACAAAATATAACTAGATAATTATTCACTAATTATTAAAAAAATCTAATTAAGTATAGTATTTTTTATACTCAATATGGTTGAATTTAATTTTAGATTGAAGTTTACAATTTTACAATGACTTCCTCTAGTGCTTTTTAGTTCTCTTATTCCATCAAATTCATGTTAATTAACTTGATGATTTAATATAACAAATGGTTAATAACTGAAATTTTTTCTAATTTAAGTAAAAATATTCAATAAACACTGTTTTTGGTAAAAAAATAATTTTTAATTATCATATATTTACTATATAGAATCATCAAATCAAATTTTATGCAAAACTCAAATTAATTCAACTAAAACAAACCCAAAGAAATAATACTTTCACATAAGTATAATTTAGGTGTCAAACAAATTTAGCTGTCCTTATCTTGAAATCATGGCTCCCCCGCTAATTACATCCCCAGGTATTGTAATCGCTCGCGGACTATAGATCATAAATATAGGGCGTGGTTTGTTGATGAACAAATCTTCCTATTTGCCGAGTCAAATTGACAAATTGTCGTGGTCAATTGGTGACTACTATTACCACCCTTAGAAGTAACACTATTTTTTTTTTTTAAATAATAATTGGTACACTTTATAATTCAACCCAATTGTTAGTATTTATTAGTTCAATTATTAAATTTTACAAATGAAATTTTTTTAGTTTTGAATTTAGATTTAAAAATAATAATTTTTTAATAATTGTATTGTGAAGTATATTAAATTAAAAGATATATTGATTATTATTCATTTTTTTAACATAAATTAACTCTCTATTTCATGAATACAAGCATGTTTGGAATGCAAATTAGAAACAATTAGATCATAAAATGACCAATTAAAAAAGTTTAATGAACAGGTCTTCCTATTTGATAATAAGAGTTTACTGAACCGTACCAATTAACTTAAAAAACCATTAAAAAAAAGACTAATTAAACACTTAGTAATTGTCCCAGTTTCTACCTCCATTCTAATTAACTACTAATGACAACTATTACCCATATACAATCTACTACTTCTCCTTTGTTTTTCCTTCAATTTGTATGTTTTGACTTAGGCCATGAGAAAAAGTCTAAATCTTCATATATAAATATAGGATCGAAATATTGGAACATATCATATCCAGCATTAGAATCATCATATATCTAGCTTAATTTCTTCTCCCTTAAACCATTTTTCTTCTCTCCTCTTTCTTCAAGTTGTTAGCCATGGCTCCAAAAAAATTCTCCGAAATTAAACACAATCTCCTTGCATCCTTATTAGGGTTATTTTTGTTTCTTTTTAGCATTGCCTCTGCACAATTATGCCCTGATTTCTACGAGAAAACGTGCCCCGGAGCACTTCCTGCTATTGAAAATGTGGTCAGAGCCGCCGTGGCAAATGAATCCAGAATGGGAGCATCTTTGCTTCGTCTTCAATTTCATGACTGCTTTGTTAATGCAAGTATCTCTTTCTCCCTTGTGACATGAACCACATCATGCTTGTGATGCTTTTGCAACTCAAATTATTTATGTTCAATGATTATTATTTTATCTGCATTAGCGTGCAGTCATCGTATGATTCTCATTTAATTTGCTCTAAATTGGATATATATATTTTTTTATTTTAAATTCATGCATTTCAAATAAACTTAGAGAAATCATGCTTTGCTCAAGCTACTGTAATATATATATTTCCTTCGCATAATGTTTACATATATATATATGTACATATTTTTAACCTAATGTTTGTATAAAAGTGGAGAAGGTGCAAATAAGGACACAGTATTGTTTAAAAAAGCATTTCTACTTGGAAACAATGATAGGAGTTCTTTAATTTCTTTATAACTAAGAAATTGAAATTAGTTGC